CCCCAAACCCCGGAGATTTGTTCGTAGTGGTGCGCAGATCTGTTTGGGTTTGGCTTTGTTGTATTGCGTTTGGTCTTTTACTCTTGGTCAGCAACCTGTCAGTGGGTCTCGCCATTGCTTGTTGATACTCTTTGAATTTTCCTGAATTTTTCTTTGCTCGTTTGGGTGACTTGGTTACTGTTCACTTTCTTCTTCGCCGAAGAACTGTGCTAGAGTGTTACATATTTATTCTGTGACTGTTCGTACTCTGTTTCTGGCCTCTTCTACTTGTGTACTTACATTGCAGGTTGGAAACCCTTCAATTAAGCCTGCTCCATGTGCGTACTACTGTTTTTCCCTTAATGACAAGGAACAACAAACAGTCACGTACCCCCCCTACAAGGATCATGCTTTTGACGAGAAAATCAAAAGACTCAATGCTAGGCAAGCTGAAATCACTGCTTTGAAAGGTGTTTTGGAAAGAAAAAAAATGGAGGCTTGTTCCTCTAATAATGCTATCCCGATTGGAGGAAAATCACAAGTCCAAACTGTGATTACTCCTATCTCCGATGTACCTAAGGCGCAGGATGTGGAGGAGGAAGCAACCAGTGTGGGTGTTCCCAGGATTGAAGCTGCTGCCTCCCTAACCTCGATTCCAGTGGGTGCTATTGATGTTGTGATTGAGGACTCTGCCTCGGCATCCTCAAATTCTGTGGAATCAAAGGAGCTGTCATTCAAGCAGATTCAAGCCCAACAAAGCATGGAGGTTGCAAAAGTTGATAAGGCCATTGAAGAGCTTGATATAGAAACTGGAAGTGTTGACTCCCTTTTTGAAGCTGCGAACAAAGAACCTGATAAGGTGCAGCCTGCTAAGAAGGTTGCATGGAGCCAAGTGGTCCAAAATAATAGATCCATTGAACATGGCATGAAATTGGAGTACATCCCACCTAAAGGCGATAAGGTTGATTTCTCTAACCGTAAGGTTCCCTCTATTATTGAAATTTGGGGATATTGTTTGGTTGGCTTTGTTGCAGGTAGATTCCCTGGGATGCGTGCGTTCCAAGAGCTATCTATCAAATGGGGAGTGCCTGTCAAGCTTAAGCAACACGACAAAGGGTGGGTAATCTTCCAATTCAGGACCGAGGACGAAAGAAATAAAGTGATGGCCGAGGGACCTTATGCTCTATATGGGAAAGCCTTATTTCTGAGAATTCTTTCGGAAGATTTTGACTTCGATGGAGAGGAATTTCTTAAAGTTCCCATATGGGTGAAGTTTCCGGGCCTATCCGTCACCCTTTGGAACAAACCGGAAATGAGCGAGCTTGCATCTCGTGTGGGTGTCCCCCTAGTTGCGGATAAAGTCACACAAGAGAAGTCAAGGTCTCACTTTGCCCGGGTGTTGGTGGAGGTTGATGCTACCAAACCACCTACGTTGTCCATTCCTATAATTCAACCATCCGGTAAGGAACGTAATCAATTTGTCATTTTCGAAACATACCCTAATTATTGTTTCGAATGCAAGGCCTTTGGCCATCACCCATTTAATTGTAAGGTACTCAATAAAGAACCGGTGGTGGACAATGCCGTGGCTATCAAAGAGGTCCCTGGAAAGGATGAAGCTAAAGCCGAGGCTTCTAAACCTTTGGCCGAGGCCTCAAAAACAAAAAAGGGTATCAATTTGAATGCTAGGAGGCGGAAACCGAATACTCAACCTCAATCTAAAACTGTGACACCGCTCCCGAAGGTCCTTGAAAATTTGATTTAAAATTCAAAGTTTATGTATTGGATTTCTGATTCCCAAACATTTGTTAAACGATTAATGTTTTACGTAATTAATGACCGATTATTATACTGTTCGAACTCGTATATTAGTATCGGGCTTGCGAATACTCATTTTGGGCCCAACCTGCTAAAAATAGCAAGTATTCGAGAATGGCGTTCTGGATCCACTCGGGGGTGACCCACACGGCTAGTAGCCCAATAATATGTATGACAAATGTCAAATAAGTGATAGGATGATTAAAGAAGAATACAAATGCCTATAACCCCACCTTTGGCCTTATTGAGCTAAATAATGGGAGTAGGATTTTCCTTCTATAATATCTATCAAGTAAATTATTGGGATGAGCCTACACATATTGGAGATCAATAATGTGATTTGAGAAGTTGACTTGTTCTAAATAAATTAGGATGAGTACAAAAAGACATCTTTTGACAAAGATAAAACAATAGGACCCATTTTCCCCATTTTTGGAAGTATTGGTAGATAATTTGGATCCCAAAATGATTGGGATCAATTGGGAACCACTCCACATGATATTAGTACCTGCAAGACAAATAAAAATGGGTTAGGAGACTTACCTTGGCCGGCCATTATGGAGAAGAGCTGCACATGACTTGATAAGAATCAAAGTTTGGGGCCACCACTCTTATTTTCGCACAAATTGGTGTGCTGTTTGTCTCCTCTCATTATAGGAGCTATCCTCAACCAAATAACGTGTATGAGGTGTCCTTGGATAGCTTTTGAAGTCTATTTTTATAATTGAGTGGTCTCAGTTCGAGAGGAGAGAGTAATCATCCAAAAATCGATCTGGAACGAGCAGTGGTCTGTGAACTCGAGCTGTGAGAGTGCTGAGACTGTTTGGTTGATATCTCGAGTTTTACCAATCCAATTAAGGCGTGTGAGATACCAAAAGAAAGGTCTCAAGACGAGGAATCCGTGAAGGTCTGGTTTGCATCAATCGGAGTAGAGGAAGGCTTCCAAATCGTCCGAGCAGAACGCGACCTCGCAGGGACGGATTTACTCTTCTAAGTGAGTTTTTAATCCCAAAACCTTTCCATTCATTTTCCAAATGATATGAACGATTGGTGGAACTATTGTACACTAATAAAAGTGCATAATATGTCCCCATAAAGTTATTTTATTGATGTAAAGGTTAGATACTAATCTAGAGCAAATCTTGGAAAACTAGGAAACGAGTTAACCGGAAAACACCCGTTCTAGGGGCTGTTTTCGTATCAACGATTAAGGGTTGAACTATCACTTGGAGGAGGCTGTTTAACACTCATATTTGAGCAAGGAATCGGTTCCAAATCCACCTTGACCAAAGCTTTGACCATTGGACCAAGAAGGGAAAGTTTAAAGCTCAATTGAGGTGAGGATTGACATCTAATTGCTTACAACTTGTAGGTTAAGCATGAGATTACCTAAATGCTTAAATCATTATTTTTCATGGATTATGATGATTATATATTGCTGAAATATTGATATAGTTGCCAAAGAATGAAATTTGAAATGATTTGAGAACGTATGGATAATATGAGATTAAATGAGTATCAATGAACTATTTTTGCGAAATAGGTATTTTGCTCATGTACGAATTATTTGGATACATAAATGAATATTTGTGTATTGAGATTGAATACTTAAGTTGCTGCTACATAATTATAATTATGTAGAGTATTACAAGTAAAGAGGATAGTGGTATGATAACAATAATCTTAATAGTATTGAAATACTAGTTAGTGATTATTGGAACTTGTTGATTTAATTGATCCTAGAGATTGGATTGTATGAAAGGTACTTGAATATAGTTCAAGTGTATCTAATAACTTAGTATGGAACTAAGGTTAAGTTATGGGAAGTCTTTAAGGATGACCCATGGTAGTTTAATGATATGTCAATTCTAGGCATAGGGTTGCTTGAGAATTGGGCCTTAATGCATGGTGATGTGGTAGAGCCGAGCTCTAGAATGCATGTAAGGTGTAGACTTGTAGTCTATGTATTGTATAGCTAGAGCCGAGCTCTAGGACTTGCGTGGTGATGTGGTAGAGCCGAGCTCTAGAACGCAAGGTAAGGAAATTGACCCGAGGTATATGAATTGTATGGTGATGTGGTAGAGCCGAGCTCTAGAATACAATGTCATGTACTAGGGTTGGACTCTAGGAGTTGTCGTGGCTTATAGCCACGGGGTTGGGAATGGTGATTTCCAAATGAAAACGGGCCCACGGGCCGACTACTTGACTTTTATATAAAGTAAGTATATATTTAAACGGGGTAACTTAGGGTTACAACCATGATGTACTATCACCCTATTTGAGGGTCTTGTGTTTGAAATACTTGTTGTATATCTATTAGATGCCTGCCACACCAGTACTTTATAGCCGTATAGAGTACTGACCCCTTCGGGGGCGTCCCACCACCATTTCAGGTTGAGGCTAGAGCTTGCTTCCTGTGCTCGTTGCCCGAGTGATTTCCCCGGAGAGAAGATTTGGTTCGTGCTTCCTCCATTCTGTTTTAGAACATTAATAAACATGCTCATGGATATTTTACTTTAGAGCCTGCGTGCTCATGTTTGCCCTGTGTGGCCCTTTTGTTTTAAACAATGTTTTCCGCTGCGTATTGAATTGCTTATTATGTATGTTTATGGATGACTTATGTGTGAATGATATTCATGACGCCTTGTATAATATGAATGTGTTGGACTGCGGTTGACTATTCGTATTGTACGGCGGGTTGTTGACGTGTCCGGAGAGGTCCGGGGCGTGACAAAAACCATGGGGCCGATTGGTGACAAAGTTGAAGAAGACAAAAGAGTTTGGATCCCTGTTTCCAAAAAGAAAAAGGAGACACCCATCTCACTTGCAACTCAGCCGAAGCCCACTCTCAACCAAGCACCAACAAAAGCTTTGAAGGAGGTTTTACCGAAGCCAAACCCACCAGTTAACTACCCCAAGAATGGCAACATTGGTTTTGATGAACTGGGAGGCCGCTTGATCAACAATGTGCATGAACTTAAAAGAGGGGAAGTAGTAACCCGAATTGATTATGATGAGAGGAAACGGAGAACAGTCTTTGCCATGAAACCGGGTGAGGTTCCTAAGCATCACAAGATCGTAAGACTGGGAGAAGACCTTCGAAAAGTCAGTTTAGAACAAAGAGGCATCTCCTTCACCCACGAATGCCTTAGCAAACTTCCGGGGGTGACACCGAATCCACACACTCAATGGTATGATTTTAAACATAATGTTTTTTATAATTATGTGGCCTCTTTTTTTTATGTCACAACTAGGGACAATAAGAAGTATGCCATGGAGAAGCAAAGAAGAAGGGAAGCGAGAGAGGCTAAAATAGCAAAGAATAAAGGGAAGGCAGTGGCGAACAAGGAGGATGGTCACTCCTCCACCGACTCCGACTCTTATGAATTTTAAAACCGTTGTGTGGAACGTGAGAGGTTTGAATAAACCCTCCAAACACTCTACTATTTCGCGTTTTATTAATTTGAATAATGCATGCTTGGTTTGTCTTTTGGAAACTAAAATGATTTTGAATAAGTTTAAAAATCTTGTTTCTAATAAATGGCCGTTTTGGTCATATGAAACGAATTTTGACTTAATTGAGGGTAGTCGTATGGCGGTAATGTGGGACCCTAACCTCTTGCATTGCACTTTGCTTGAATTAGATCGGCAATATATGCACTTTAAGTGTATATGCCGCACCACTCACTCCATTTTCTTTGTGACTTTTGTGTATCCCCTTTACACTGTTTTGGAGCGTAAGTGCCTCTGGGAACATCTTGCTACTATAGGGGACCAAATTAAGGACCCTTGGTTTGTGGCGGGGGATTTCAACTGCATTTGCTCTCCTAACGAAAGGGTCGGCTCAAACCCCCCTACGGCTTACCTAATGAAACACTTGTTAGATTTTAAAATTTGTGCTAGCCTTGAAGATGCCCCCTCCACCGGAGAATTCTTTACGTGGAACAAGGGCAATCTTTGGGCTAAACTTGATCGGGTGTTGATCAATGATTCTTGGAACCAATTAGGCATTACCTGTAAGGCCCATTTCGAAGAAATGGAGGCTGAGTTTGACCACACGGCCACTGTGGTCTCTATACTCAATAGCACCTCTACCAGGCCGAGAGCTTTTAAATTCTTTAATATGTGGACTCAGCATCATGCATTTACTAACCTAGTTTTGCAGAACTGGAATATTACTATCATTGGTACGGCTCAATACCGAATTGTTAGGAAGCTTAAGTTGCTTAAACAGCCACTTAAGAACCTTAACAAACTTGAGTTTGGCCATATTTCTAGCAAAGCTAAGGTTGCCAAGGAAGAATTCAAACGATTGAACAGGTTGTGGCTTGCCTCTCCTCACAATTCCGAGATTAAAGAACAATTAAAGGAGGCTAGAGGGAAAGCTATTTTCTTGGGGGAGGCCGAATGTAGCTTTTTCCAACAAAAAGCAAAAGCGACACACATACTTGAAGCCGATAGGGGAACGAGATACTTCCATGCCATTGTCAAGAGGAATGCGTCCCGGAATGCCATAACATCCATCACTTTGGAAGATGGCACTTTTACTAATTCCGTTAATCAAGTGGGGAACGAATTTGTAAAATTTTTTATTGATTTATTTGGTACTAGAATGAATAACCTTTCCATTGACCACTCGGTCCTAGGAACCGGCCCTTTGATTGAACCAAGTGTTCATGATAGCCTATTATCGCCAATAACTAACGAGGAAATTAAAGATGCCTTGTTTGATATTGGAGATGATAAGGCACCGGGGCCGGATGGTTATTCATCGGCTTTCTTTAAGAAGAATTGGAATGTGGTGGGGGAGGACGTTATAAAGGCGACTAAAGAGTTCTTTAACTCGGGAAGATTGCTTAAACATATTAACCATACTGTTATAGCACTCATTCCTAAAACTAGTCACTCCCCCAAGGTCTCAGATTTTAGACCTATTTCATGCACTAATGTCCTCTATAAAATCATAACGAAAATTATTGCTGCTAGAATGTCCCCTACCCTCTCGGGTTTGATCAACCAAGCACAAGGTGCTTTTGTTGATGGCCGCCTTATGTTCGACAACATATTCCTTGCCCAGGAACTTGTTAGAGGATACAATAGGAAGCGCATCTCACCTCGTTGTATGATCATGGTGGATCTGCGCAAGGCATACGATACTATCTCGTGGGACTTTCTAGCCGACGTGCTAAAGGGATTGGGCTACCCTACACGCTTTGTTGGTTGGATTATGGAGTGTGTCTCCACTGCATCCTTTTCTGTATCTTTAAATGGTGTGATGCATGGTTTCTTTAAAGGTAAAAGAGGTATTAGGCAAGGGGATCCAATGTCCCCGTTACTCTTCGTTGTATGCCTTGAGTATTTCTCACGGCTGTTAACCATTAGAGCCGAGACCTCACGTTTTAACTATCATCCTTTATGTGCTTCTTTGGGCATAACCCACTTGGCATATGCGGATGATCTAATGCTCTTTTCTAGAGGGGACAAATACTCAATTGAGATATTAGTCAATACTCTTAAAGAGTTTGGGGACGTTTCGGGCCTAAGGGTTAACCATACTAAATCCAATATTTTTGTAGGTGGGGTGCATGGCTATGATCTTCAAAATATTCTTGACCTCGTTGATTATAGCCGAGGCGAATTCCCGGTGAGATACCTTGGAGTGCCACTTGCACCGCTCAAAGTCTCCGTAGCCCAGTATTCGCC